GTTCTCTGCATCAACAAAACAAAAAAAAACCCCTAGGAATAAATTTAACCAAGGAAGTGAAAGACCTATACACCGAAAACTATAACACATTAATGGAAGGAATGGAAGAAGACACAAATAAATGGAAATATACTCTGTGCTCATGCATCAGAAGAATTAATATTGTTAAAATGTCCATACTACCCAAAATAATCTACAGATTCAATGCAATCCCTATCAAAATTCCAGTGGCATTTTTCACAGAAATAAAACAAACAATCCTGAAATCTGTGTGGAACCCAAAAGACCCTGAATAGCCAAGGTAATCTTGAGAAAGAAGAACAAAGCTGGAAGCATCATGCTTCCTGATTTAAAACTATATTACAAAGCTATAGTAATCCAAACAGTATAGTATTGGCATAAAACAGACATATAGATGAATGGAACATAATAGAGAGCCCAGAAATAAACCCATACATATATGGTGAGTTAATTTAATTTATGGTTAATTAATTAATATGTGGGTAAAGGAGCCAAGAATATGCAATGGGGAAAGGAAAGTCTCTTCAATAAATGGCGTTGGGAAAACTTGACAGCCACATGCAAAAGAATGAAAGTGGACCCCTATCTTACACCACATACAGAAATCAAGTCAAATGGATTGAACAGTGCACAGCATTCCGTTTTCTACACATCCTCCCCAACACTGTTATTTCTTGTCTTTTCGAGAATAGCCATTCAAACAGGGGTGAGATGACATCTCACTGTGGTTTTGATTTGTGTTTCAATGGAAAGACTTGAACATAAGACCTGAAATCATAAAACTCCTAGAAGAAAGCATAGGTGGTAAACTTCTTGATATCAGTTTTGGTGATAAGCTTTTGAATGTGACACCAAAAGCAAAGGCAACAAAAGTAGAAAACAAGCAAATGAGACTACTTCAAACTAAAAAGCTTTTTCACAGCAAAGGAAACCATCAACAAAATGAAAACACAACCTACAGAATGGGAGAAAATATTTGCAAATTATATATCTGATAAGGGGTTAATATCTAAAATATATAAAGAACTCATACAACTCAATAGGAAAAAAACAAACAATCTGATTAAAAAATGGTCAGAGGATCTGAGTAGACATTTTTCCAAAGAAGACATACAAATCGCCAACTGGTACATGCAAAGTTGCTCAACATCATTAATCATAAGGGAAATATGAATCAAAACCACAGTGAGATGTCACCTCACCCCTGTTTGAAAGGCTATTCTCAAAAAGACAAGAAATAAGAGTGTTGGTGAGGATGTGGAGAAAAGAGAACCATGCTCATTGTTGGTAGGAATATAAATTGGAGCAGCCACTATGTAAAACAATGTGGATGTTCCTCAAAAAACTAAAAATAGAGCTACCAAATGATCCAGCAATCCCACTTCTGGGTATTTATGTGAAGAAAATAAAATCACTATCTCAAAGGATATCTGCATCCCTGTGTTCACTGCAGCATTATTTACAATAGCCAAGACATAGAAACAACCTAAGTATCCACTGACAGATGAATGGATAAAGAAGATGTGGTATACATATACAATGGAATATTATTCAGCCATAAAAAAGAAGGAAATCCCGCCATTTGCAACAACATGGCTGGACTTTGAGGGCATTATACTAAGTGAAATAGGTCAGACAGAGAAAGTCATATACCGTATGATCTCACTTATAGGTGGAATCTAAAAAAAAATGGAACTCATAGATACAGAGAACAAATTGGTGGTTGCCAGAGGTGGGGGTTAGAGGTGAGCCAAATGGATGAAGGGGATCAAAAGGTTCAACTTTCTATTTATAAAATAAATACATCCTGGGATGTAATGTACAGCATGGTGCCTATAGTTAACAATACTGTATTGTATATTTGAAAGTTGCTAAGAGAGTAGATCTTAAGCGTTCTCATCAGAATATAAAAAATTTGTAACTATGTGGTGATGGACATTAACTAGACTTATTGTGGTGATCATTTGGCAACATATACATATACCGAATAATTATGTTGTATACCTGAAACTAATGCAATGTTATATGTCAATTATATCTCAATAAAAAATATGTAGACATTAAAAAAAAGTTCTCTGAAGAGTTAATAACATTTGGGAAAATGGGTATGTTATGATATAAAGTGATAAAGAAATAAAATAGAAAATTGTTCCTATAACAGGATCATTATTCTGTAAAAATGTAAAAAGAAATTACTGACGGGCCAGCCTGGTGGCATAGTGGTTAAGTTCACACACTCTGCTTCAGCAGCCTGGGGTTCACAAGTTTGAATTCCAGGTGTGGACCTATGCACTGCTCATCAAGCCATGCTGTGGTGGCATCCTATATACAAAACAGAGGAAGATGGGCACGGATGTTAGCTCAGGGCTAATCTTCCTCACACAGAAAAAATAAATAAATATTTTAATAAATTACTGAAAGAAAATATAATTTAAAAAGTGACTTTTTCTCTCAGAGGAGGTGTGCTCAATGAAGACTTAATATGTGGTGGTTGAGTCTCAGCCAGTCCTGCTCAGACTCTGCCTTGACCCCTTTCTAGATGGTTAATTTTAGGAAAACTTTGTTACCACTCTGAGCCCCAATTTCCTTATATGTGAAGTTGGGATATTAATATTACACACCTCAGAGGTTTGTTAACTTCTGGGCTTAGTGCTAGAATAATCGCTAGCTTTGGTCTGTGGTAGTAATTCTGCATCCTATTGTCACCATTATTTTCCCTGTCAATGCTTTCAGGAGATGGTGAGATGGTGAAGGCAGTATTACATTAACCATTGAACTCCCAGGGCCTGGCACAGCCTTACATTACCCAGCCTCAAATTTAGACTTTTGACCACATCCACATAAGGTAATATAGATTCACTAAAATAAACTCATAAATTGACCAAAGAAGAGGATTATCTCCAAAATTTAAACTTTTGTCCTAATGGAAGAAATAAAACTCCCCTTAGAAAGAAAGAAAATGTAAGATTAGAAGGAAAGCCAATTCTAATCATCAAAGTGCTCCTGAGCTAGGCTTGTGTGGCCTTCCTGTTCCCTCATGCACATTCTCTAACACAGTACAGGACACTGCCCACAGCCCACTGCCAGCAGCTGTGTCTCAGGTCAGAGCCTGAGTGTGCAGCAGGGGAAGTGCCAGGGTATCAGCACCTCTGTGCGTAGCCCTCAACCGATGACTGGTAGTCCTGTGTGAAAACGCCTCACCCCTCAGGGGCAGACTGCTGAGGAGTGTGTTCTATGCTGGCTCCTAGAGTCCCGAGTGGGATCACACTCCAGCTGCCCACAGTGGTAACTTGCTTGATGATGCACCCTTTAAGGGATACCTCCCCTTTCTTGTCCTACTTTCATACTCCTTCACTAAGGTTTTCTCCACTTCCCAAATAAACTACTTGCAAACTTAAATCCTTGTCTCAGGATCTTCTCCTGGAGAAACTCATGCTTACAGAGTACAAAGCCTCAAAATTCTCACATTTTTAGCTCCTAGATGTTCCTGACTCTCCAAGGGAAGAAGGTAGGAATTTTCCTACTGTTAATAAAATTCAGTTATCTTTTTGTTCCACACATAGACACAGGATTTTGTTTAAGATTGAGTTGTCTCAGATGCTTGTAAAACATTATTTATAAAAAATAGCTGTCATTTTAACAGTAGATATTGTGAAAACTAATGATCGTTAAAAATGGTATATATGATCAGTAATTTTATATATCAATTTGACTGGGCCACAAGGTGCCCAGATACTTGGCTAAACATTATTTCTGTGTTTGTCTGTGAGAGCATTTCTGGATGAGATTAACATTTGAGTCAGTAGACTGAGTAAAGCAGATTGACCTCCCAAATGTGTGTGGGCCTCATCCAATCAGTTGAAGGCCTCAATAGGCCTAAAAGGCTCAATAAGAAATAATTTTCCCTGACTCTCTTTGAGCTGGGACATTGGTCTTCTGCCTTCAGACTCAGACTTGGACTGGAACTTACACCATCAGTTCTCCTGGTTCTTAGGCCCTCAGACTCAGACTGGAACTAAACCATTGGCTCTACTGGGTGACTTCTCAGCCTCCATAATCATGTGAGCCAATTTCTTATAGTACATCTCTCTCTCTCTCTCTGTCTTTTTCCCTTTCTTTCTCTCTCAATAGACAGATAGATAGGTATAGATATAGGTATAGGTATAGGTATAGGTATAGATATAGGTATAGGTATAGATGATATAGATCCTATTGGTTCTATTTCTCTGGTACCGAGGGTGGTTCTAGAAGAACAGAATTTTAAGGATGAATTTTCTGAATTGGTTCTGGAGTTTCTGGAATTGATTCTCTAATTTAATGATTTAAAGATGTTAATGACTCTATTTCCAGGCATGATCTAGCATTAGAGATATGCAAAATATCTCAGTTGGATACTCCTAAACAACTACTTATAAGAAGGAAAGAATTCGGTGTACATGATACTTTCAAACATATTTGGAAATCTAATGAGTATAATGAGGTTGGCTAGTTGCTCCTAATGTTGCTGAACAAAGTGGTGAAAGAAAAGAACGAGCTCACGGATTTGAATTTGCAGCTCAAGCACTGTACAAATGACCTGAAAGCTTCTAAGTGTGCCCTGAAGGAAATTCTTATCTCCTGTAGCTGCAAGGCTGAGATTGCTGAAAATCATATGCAGAATCTTATTATGAGGTTGGTTGAATTATGATGCAAACTGAGCTCCCAGCTTCACAGAGTGTCTATTGTTAAAGTGAGGGCATTGATTGGGTAAGACTGGAATATAGTAAATTGGGATGAGGATGTGTGGGAAGACCCTGATGTATCTGGGGACATTATGCCCCTAAATTCTGATGAGTCTTCTTTGCCAGTGGAAGCAGCCTCTCCACCCCTGGCTGAGGGGATTAACCCAGCACTGCCTGAGGAAACTGTAATGGCTTCCCCTGAAGCAGTTGCCATGCAAGACAATGCTGACTCTCTTCAGGGTCCACCCCCACCCCCACCCCCTTTGCTTCTAGACCTATAACTAGACTCAAGTCTAAAGGCCTCTAAAGGTGAGGTACAAAGTGTGACCCATAAGGAGGTGTGCTACACTCCAAAAGAGCTACTTGTTTTCTAGCTTATACAGACAGAAATCCAGGGAATATGTATGGGAATGGGTATTGAGGGTGTGTGATAATGGTGGGAGGAACACAAAGTTGAATCAGGCCAAATTTATTGATATGGGCCCACTAAACAGAGACTCTGCATTTACTGTTGCAGTTCACGGAGTTAGGAAGGGCACTAGCAGTTTGGCTGGTTGGCTGAAGCATAGACTAAAAGTGGCCCACAGAGAGTGAATTAGAAATGCCAGACCAATCTTGGTTTAATGTAGAGGAAGGGACTCAAGGACTTAGGGAGGTTGGAAGGTTAGAGTAGACCTACTCATCCACACTGGAAGGGTCCTGAAGACATACTGATACTGAAACTCCTAATCCTAAGTTTCTGTGCCCGATGCACAATAAGCCAATCACTGAGACACTGGTGCTTGGAGATGGAGAAAAGTTTATTTGAATTGGCCAAAACAAGAAGGCAGGAGGATAGGTTCTCTCAAATTTACCTTAACAAAAAAAGAAAGTTATAGGTTTTATAGAGCTCAGGGGCCCTGCAAGAGGAGTTTCAGAGAAACAAAGGGGAAATCCATGTTGCTTTCACTCAAGATAAGCCCATAGGGCAATCTGACTTCTGGGTGTCAACAGCAGCTGGTGGCTGGTTATCTGGTGATTGTACCTTCCTTAAAGGAATTCTTTTTCTTCTGCAAAACAAGCTCATAAGTCCTTGTGACCCTTGAGCCACCCCTCAAGTTAAACAACAAAACAGCAAATTAATAAGATTAACTTCTTTTCATCTATGTCTGTGTTGGGAACAAGGTCAAAAGGTAGTAATGTTCTTATTGAATATTTACAGTAGCCCTCAGGTACCTGGCTCCAATACCTTTCACCACTACCGTGAGAAATAAACTTGTGAGGGGAGCCCCAGATCCTCAAAAAGCTCCACAATTGCTCTGCTCTGTAGGCCAGACCTTAGAGTGGGAACTGCAGCCACTGAATTGGAAACCTGAATTAGGAAACCTAAATGCAATGGGAGTAATTGGATCCTGGGGTGGCAGGGGCCAAGCGGATCCACTCAACCAACAAAGGCAAGGCAGACGTGATTACAGTAATGGACAGTAGAGTCAAAGTTGCAATCAGAATAATCTGACTCATGCAGACCTATGGTGTTGGCTAGTTGGTCATAGAGCTCCCAGAAGTGAAATAGACACAAAGCCTACTAAATTCTACTTGATTTGCGTAAGCAGAAAAGTTCTCAGTCAGGTGAACAAAAGTCTAATCTGAATCATTGAATCATAAAAACAGAAAGTCATGGTCCATCAATCAATTCTCAGATTTGAGCCAGTTTACAGACCCAGAACCCCTTGAATGAAGGGGAGGCCAGGTCTCCCTGAGGAAAGACCCCAGTATATTGTCAATAATTTATACTGTTAATCTTTCTTTCAATCTTCTCCAAAAGGACCTATGACCTTTACTAGAGTGACTGTGTGTTGGGGAAAAGGAAATAATCAGGCCTTTTGGAGACTACTGAACATTGGCTCTGAACTGACACTAATTCCAGGAGATCAAAATGTCACTGTGGCCCAACAGTCAGAGTAGGGGATTAAGTGGAGGTCAAGTGGTCAATGGAGTTTTAGCTCAGATCCATCTCACAGTGGGTTCAGTGCATCCAGTGTGTCCTAAACCCATCCTGTGGTTATTTCTCCAGTTCCAGAGTGTATAATTGGTATAGACATATTTAGCAGCTGGTGTAATCCCCACATTGGTTCCCTGACTTGTGGAGTGAGGAATATAATGGTGGGAAAGGCAAAGTGGAAGACATTAGAACTGCCTCAGTCACCAGGTTGTGACTCCAATTGCAGATGCTGCAACAGATGTGGTTTCATTGCTTGAGTAAATTAAATATTCCCTGGTACCTGGTATGCAAATGCCTGACAAATGCCTATTGATCTGGAAAATGCCTTTTTCTCCATCCTTGTCAGTAAGCTCAACCAGAAGCAGCTTGCTTTCAGATGGCAAGGGCAGCAATATACCTTTACTGTCCTACCTTATGGGTATATCAACTCACCAGCACTAAGTCATTATTTAGTTTTCAGGGATCTTGATCATCCTTCCCTTCCACAAATAGTACACTGGTCTTTCAAGTTGATGATATCATGCTAATTGGGCCTAGTGAGAAAGAAGTAGCAACTACACGAGATTTGTTGGTAAGACATTTGTATGCCAGAGGGTGGTAAACAAATCTGACAAAATTCAGGGGCCTTCTACCTCAGTGAAATTTCTAGGGATCCAGAAGTGTGGGGCATGTCATGATACCCCTTCTAAGGTGAAGGATGGGCTGTTGCCTCTGGCCCATCCTACAACCAAAAAAGAGGCACAATGCCTAGTGGGCTCTTTGCTTTTAGGGGACAACATATTCCTCATTTGGGTGTGTTACTATGGTCCATTTACCCAGTGACCCAAAAAGCTGCTAGTTTTGTGTGGGGTCCAGAATAGAAGGTTCTGCAACACATCCAGGTTGCTGGGCATGCTGCTTTGCCACTTGGGCCATGTGATCTGCAGATCCAATGGTGCTTGAAGTGTCAGTGGCAGATAGGGATGCTGTTTGGAGCTTTTGGCATGCTCCTATAGGTGAATTGCAGCACAAGCCCTTAGGATTTTAGAGCAAAGCACTGCTTTCATCCACAGATAACTACTCTCCTTTTGAGAAACAGCTCTTGGCCTGCCACTAGGCCTCATTAGAGACTGAACACTTTGGGCCACCAAGTTACAATGCAACCTGAGCTGCCCATCATGAACTGGGTGTTATCAGACCCATTTAGCCATAAAGCTGGGCATGCACAGCAGCACTCCATCATCAAATGGAAGTGGCATGTATGTGCCGTGGTCCCCACTTCTGCTATACTACCTTCTCTCACCCAGCCTTCACCTGTGGCCTCATGGAGAGTTGTCTATGATCAGCTGACAGAGGAAGAGAGACTCAGGCATGGCTTACAAATAGTTTTGCAAGATACGTGGGCACCACCCGAAAGTGGAGAGTTGCAGCACTATAGCTCCTTTCTGGGACATCCCTAAAGGAATGGTGAAGGGAAATCCTCCCAGCAGGCAGAACTTTGAGAAGTGCACCTAATTGTTCACTTTCCTTGGAAGGAGAAATACCCAGATGTGCAATTATATACCTATTCATGGGCTGTGGCCAATGGCATGGCTGGATGATCAGGAACTTGGAAGAAATCTGATTGGAAAATTTATTTGGGGACTAGGTATGCAGATAGATCTCTCTGAATGGGCAAAAAAAAAATACAAAGATATTTGTATCCCACGTGAATGCTCTCCAAAGGGTGAATTCAGCAGAGGAGGATTTTAATAATCAAGTGGGTAGGAAGATGTGTTCTGTCAATACATCTCCTCCTCCTTCCCCAGCCACACCTGTCACTGCCCAATGGACTCATGAATAAAGTGGCCATGGTGGCAAGGATTGGAAGTTATTCATGGGCTCAGCAACATGGACTTCCACTTACCAAGGCCAAACTGGCTATCACCACTGCTGAGTCCCCAATCTGCCAGCAGCAGAGACCAACACTGAGTCCTCCATATGGCACCATTCACCAGGGTGCTAAGCTAGCTACCTGGTGGCAGGTTGATTACATTGAACTGCTTCCATTTTGGAAGGGGCAGCATTTTGTTGTTACTGGAATAGACACTTACTCTAGATATGGATTTGCCTTCCCTGCATGCCATGCTTCTGCCGTGGTCTTACAGAATGCCTTATCCACCGTCATGGTATTCTGCACAAGATTGCTTCTGATCAAGGAACTCACTTTATAGCAAAAGAAGTGTGGCAATGATTCCATGCTTATGGCATTCAATGGTCTTACCCTGGGTACCATCCTGAAGCACTGGTTTGATAGAATGGTGCAGTGGCCTTTTGAACAGTCAGTCAACTAGGTGGCAATACCTTGTAGTCTTGGACAATGTTCTCCAGGAGGCTGCATATGCTCTGAATCAGCATCCAATATATGATGCTATTTCTACCATAGCCCCCCTTTTCTCCCCCTTAGGTGGGACAGGCTAGAGTGGGCTGGAGTTGGATATTTCCCTTCTTTCCATGTGGAAGGCTAGAAGGGACCAGAGTTTGGTATTTCTCTTACCCCAAGTTATTTAGACTTTGATAAAACCCCAGCAGATTAGTCTTTGATTAAATAGTTTCCCCTAAGGGAAGACCTTTTAAAGAAGAACAGAATGCTCTGGCGTGTTTCAAATGGTTATTTATCTCGGCCTCCTGCCAGAAGCAAGAGGGATTTTTTTCTGATATTCACTGTGAGCACTGGTAGAGATCATGGAGGTTCAACTCACAAAAATGTAAGGGCCCCTTGATGACTAGGTCTCTCTGGAGTTTTTAACTCTCAGAATTGTCCACACTGAGCCTCCAGCAGTTCATTTTTCCAGTTCAGGTTTCACCACCCTGGCACTGGTACCCTCAGAGGTTTCTGCTCTGGTAAGTTTTGATTATATTTGCCTGTCAGTCTCTCTGATTTTGGGGGCAGTGTTTGCTCTGTAGCCTCACTTCTCTTAGAGATCTAAGAAGAGTTGTTGATTTTTTCAGTTTAACTTTTTACTTGTTTTTAGGACAGAGTGGTGACTTCCAAGCTTCTTACAAAATGAACTAGAAACCAGAAATTATCTCTCATTTTTTTTTGAAGTTCTTTTTTTTTTTTTGGTGAGGAAGATTAGCCCTGAGCCAACATCTGTTGCCAATCCTCCTCCTTTTGCTGAGGAAGATTGGCCCTGGGTGAACATCCTTGCCCATGTTCCTCTGCTTTATACGTGGGATGCCTGCACAGCATGGCTTGATAAGTGGTGTGCAGGTCCATACCCGGGATCTGAACCTGCAAACCCCAGGCTGCCAAAGCAGA